TCTGCAGAAATGCCAGATGGTACTGCAGTAAGTCAAGCGAGGCAATATGACAGCTTTGTAAAGTTGTAATTTAGCATGATTGGGTACAATTTTCCTTAGACGTCTTAAAACTCCTATCTGTTGGCTAGCTTTTCTGCAAACAGAGCTAATGTGCTCACTAAAACTAAGTTCAGAGTCCAGGAATACACCAAACAATTTGATAGATTTCAATTGTTCTATGTTAACCCCATTTATATCCACGTTTATATTATTTGCCTCAGATTCAGCACCCAGCACCATGGGTTGATATTTCTGAACATTCACTTGTAGCAGGTTTTCCTTGTGCCATCTAGTGATCTTACTACCTTCACTCATGCCCTCAACGATACTACTAGATGAGCCCGAGGCAAAGATTTGATGATCGTCTGTTATATAAGCAAGATCATTTCGAAATGAGTTCCACAAAAGGGGACCAAACGAAGACCCCTGACGACAACCTCTCATTGTATTTTTCCACTGACTGGTCACAGAACCCAGCCTCACCCGGTTTTGTCTGTGAGAGAAGTACGAGCGCAGAAGGTTAAGGGCAGATCCTGAAAAAATGTATGATTCCAGTTTCTTAATAAGTAGTGGTGGGCTAACATCAAGTTAGCTTTTTCCACTTTTAAAGTTGGGCATTTTTTCAACGTGAAAGATTTTGTGACTCAAGGCCTCCGATCGCGGGTAATTTATAAGTTTCTTTGTGCTGATTGTAATGCCAGTTACATTAGCAAAACTACTTGCCACTTCTCCACTCCTGTCCGTGAGCACCTTGTATCGCACAAGGCGTCTCACGTCTACAAACACATTACTTCATCTCAAGCTTGCAGAGAGTCCTGTTCCACGGAATGTTTCACTATCCTTGATACCGCCGCCTCTGGATTCCAGTTAAAGATTAAGGAGGCGATGTATATAAAGAAGAAGAAACCTATTCTAAATCAAAAGGTGAAACATAAACCTGTCACTTTCCATGTAGCTTAGCTGCTATTTCTGCTGTTTCTTTTTCTCTCCTCATTGTTCTTCTGTCCCATTTAGCTTTCATTGAAATCCTGGTAATTAGCATATTCAAATTGTAACTAACTTCTACAACCATTATATTCAAATCGTAAAGAGCTTCTACAACTGAAGATGGCATAAGTTTGGCGACGCATGTCTTGGAAGCTGAAAACTGTTGTGTCATTTCTTCGAATCATAGCAAATTTTCTTCGCTCGCGTCCGTTTAATTACAATTTATTAGTTAATTAAAAGTAAGTTTGATTACTCACCGTAAACCATCTTCCACATCTTTTCAACAAGCATCTGGCACTGTCTTTTCCAACTGAACATCTCATCATACACTTCTCGCAATCTTCGGGTTTCTTCCAGCCGTTGTATCCTAGGTTTTTGACGGATAGCATCAATTGCCTTTGCCCATTCCTTGGGGTCATCAGAATCGATCACAACTGACTTGCCCTCAGTAAGACCACGCAGTGTTTCTCCAAATCCGGAGTTTCCACTAACCAGAATGGGAAGACCAGCTGACATCGCTTCTAGTGCTGTCAACCCAAATCCTTCAGTTCTTGAAGGCATGATGGCCACATCGACTTCGCAAAACAACTCTTTTAATCTTTCCTTGTTTTGTACAAATGATCTGACGATCAGCTGGTTCCTTGAAATACCAGTTTGCAGTAAGATTTCAGCGACTTCATCCTGCTTTCCATCAGGAGCACCAACAAACAGCAGACGGTAAGAACTATCCTGCAGCTCAACAATGGCTTTAGCGGCAATGTCATATCCTTTGAGACTGAAGTCTTCAAAATCACCGCGGCCAAAGGTTAACACTTTGAAATTCGCTCTATCTTGTTTGGCATGTTGAGTCTCTGAAAACTCTACAAAGGAACCTGGTATCAACTGAAAGACATCTCGATGAGATGAACAAAGTTTGGATGCGAAAGCTTCCTTCAGCTTGGGTCCAACTGCCACAACGAGATCTGCAATTTGGCACAATTCAACTTCAGCTCTGTTCTTTCCTTCCCCTTTGGCAATGGCGTTAGCATAGTTCTTATGCATTGCCAGCTCTTCAGGTTCAGTGTGCACAACTTGCATCCACTTACAGGAATGATATTCTCTGATTATTTGCGCTTGTCTACCGACCTTTGCACCATGACCAATCACAACTTGAATGTCAAGGTCTTTTGGTGGAAAGCTCAACCAGTCAAGAGGATCACTGAAAGCAGGGCGACGCTGTACTTCCTTAATGGCAATGTTGTGACTTCTGGCAGTTCTCTTGTCTTCTTCGCCACACTCGAATTCAGGTACAAGAATAGTGACCTCGACGTTTGCGTGTTTTGCCAAATGTATGGCAAGTTTTCTGTTTATTGTTGACAAGCCTCCCTTAGATGACCCCCATTCATTGGCCAGAAGAGCAACTTTCAAGATTGAACGTCCTGGGTGACTTTGTGCAGTATCAGGTGATAGAGTATACACTTCCTGTACAGGAAACAAAACGCACATTTTAGAATAACAATCTTGATTTAAAGTTTGCACAACATGATATCAACAAATTCAAGATGCCAAAAACAGCTAAGAAAAAGCATGTTAAGCAGGAAACGTGGCCTAGGATTAAAGGAAGTCATAAATACCAACTCCTACGCCAACAGGCCCATTATTTTGTATTGAAAAAGAACCTTACATAAGTCATGTGAAATGTGAAAGCTTTTTGCTCCATATTACAATGATGATGTGAAGTTTCCACAGCAAAGCAATGCAGGCACTAGATCAAGAGTACTACAGGCACTGTACGATAGACAAATTCATTGAAGAACAAATTCAATGAGGCGAATTCCATCTGTGGCGAGATTCAAAGGCTGACGTTTGAAAACTAACCATTCTTAAGGAGGCGGCGTGATCGATTGGTTAGGGTGCTGGACTTGCACAGTCAACTCTCGCCTTGCGGACACCCCGCTATAACTGACACGCCGATAAAACGGACAGTAGCTAAATCCCCAGCAAAAACAAATTACAGACGTTTGACTGAAATAATCTCCCGCCATTATGGACTCTCGCTAATGAGGACATGAATTCGAGCCCCTTACAGTGTTCGCTATAAAGGAAGTTGAATGTAATTCGGAGGCCCCAAGTTTAAGTCCCGCCATGATCGCTTGCTGGATTTGTTCTTGGCAGTCCCGAGTTCAAATCCTCGGTCATGCTTGTAAATAGCCAACTGGTTTGCCTCCAACCAGTTGGGATTTTTAACCATGTTATGTTGTTTTTAAATTATTTGTTTCATTAATCCTGAATAGCCCCACAAGGGGAGAGGATCATTAATAATTATCGTTATTATTCCTCAGAACCAAATGTTATTAGCTTCTAGTATCAGCAGTTGAGTCACCAAATGGTACCAATTGACCGAATAAACTCACTTAATTTTACATTATTTTTTCTAGTCATTTCCTATCTCCTCCTTTTCCTACGGAGATTCATGTGTTAGGCCACATAACAGGTATACACTATGCACCATCCTGTAATCTAATAACTTACATGAAAAGATCTCGTTGGACCTTGAAAAGAGGATATACGACTGCACATTTAATAACATAATACTTGAGGGTATCTAACGTCCCCTATAGTATGATTCTCTTTTAGTTTATATAAATGAAGCGCTAACCTAACAGCATTATTAAGTAGAGACTGAATTCTATTATTACCTACCTCACTTGGCACCTGTGAGAACCACTTTTCCTGTCCCCTAACCGTAAGTATCTCCTCTGAAGGTTTCTTTTTACAAATCAGTGGCTGACCGTGTCTTAACTCCAGGAGATGAAGACAGTCTTCATGACCACATGCCCTCTCATTATGGCCTGAGCACTCTTCAAGCTGACAGTACGGACAGGCCACCCGAATCTCGTACTGCACTCCACGTAGATACAGCAGATCATGTGACAAAGTTTGTAGAGTTGCCTCCACAAACTCGCGCACCTGCACCGCTACCTCACTTGTGTCCCTCACTGAAATCTTCTGACGCTGGGTTTTTTGCTTTAAGAAAAACTTTATGAACTGCTTCTTACAAATAAGAACTAAATCCTGGATAATTTCCCTCCCAATGACGAACCATGCTCCATTTTGATATAGGGTAGGAGGCTGAGCTGGACCAGCCTCAGAACACCACCTCACAAGGCGAGAAACAAGCCGTGTGAACAGGCCATGAGGGACAAAACCAGTAACAAAGTAAACATGAAGAGGACAAGGGTCTGAGCTTGAGGGTACCATTGCACAAATGGAATCAGGTGGCATTTTGAGCTGGCATGGCACAAAATACTTTACATCAGTTTTAGAAGGTGAAAACTTTGCAATCAAACCGAATTGTTCCATCAGGTCCAGAATGTCATCTTTTGCAACACCCTTCAGAAGAAACTTAGAAAATACATGATGAAGCAATTCCAAGCTAAGGACACCGCTTTCTTTAACTTCCTGCCAGAGTTTGGAAACCTTGGGTTCCTGAGAAATAAAAAGTAAAGTGATTAAAAAGTTTTTCAGAAGACGTCTGTATTTTTCTTGACCTCTCAAAAGCAGTTGACGCCGTAGATCATGCCATTATTTTTGATAAACTCGAAAATCCGTGGTTTAACGCTGGACTGAATAAGAAGTTGTTTTGCAAGCAGAATGCAATATTTAACAATTATTGGACGAGGTTGAGCAAAATATGGTGATTTGTTGGTGGCGAGCACACTATTCGGCTTCGGCAAATAATTGATCTGTGAGACACTGACAAATCACCATATTTTGTGATCGCCAAGTTTGTTTTATAATGAATATCTTCGGGAAGCGAAGCGATCAGCCATTTTTCACGCAACGCAAGAGCGATCGCAGGAAGGAGAAAAGGGTGGTTTCGTTTACGCATGAGCAGAATATTATTTGTAGGCAGTTATTTCCAGGTCACTTGGAGGGCTTTCGGCCAATGAAAAGGAAGAACAATTTTCATTGAATGATAAATTGAATTAAATGGCCATCGTTCGTTAAGAAATGAAATCTTCTGAGGGGTCCCTCAGGGTTTCATCCTCGGACCTTTTTCTTATTTAAAACATCAACGACATCAACAATGCTTTTAGTTTATTAACTGTTGTATTTTGTTTGCCGACGATACCAGTATATTTATGTTACATAACAATTTTTCCTAAAACAATATAAATTCCAGTCATTTAACAATACTAGAAATTCCTAAGCGTACCTTCTACCCTGTTGTACAAACACTAAGAGATTTCCTTTTTTTAAGATTCCAAGTTTTTTAATTCACTTGACAACAAGGTTATCAACGCTCTATCCCTTTCTTTCTTTGAGAAAATTCTAAAGGTTGCATTAACTTTTCAACTTTACACTTTACGCCATGTTGTGCTTGAATTGATCTATGGAGCTAAAGCCCGTGGCTCCAGGAGGCCTAATCTCGCATAAGCTTTTTATAGTTTCCCTTAGGTCTCCTCGCCACCTCTCTTTTTCTTCTTCTCTTATATTTTTTGGTGTTGTATTTTTACTATCGTGTGTCAAATAGATAAATGAATAAAACTAGAAGAGAAAGTTGCTGCAATAGTTTGAAAACACTTTCCGAATGTATCTCGGACCTTACCGTTTCATCGAATGGTGGAATAATGATCAGCTGCTTGAATAGGTCTATTAACCACTCAGCGCTCAGAATGACTGTGCTACAGTGCTTGATAATTATCCCCAGGTCATGATAGAAATCCACCATGGTAGTGACCTCTTCCTCATCATTTATAAAGCAGTTATCCCTTGCATAGGTTTGAAGTTCCTTTAAGTTCAAATGGTAAACTTTCTTGGAAAGCAAAGCACTGAGGACCTTCTCAAAGTTAAGCCACCTAGTTTATAAAAAGATGAATGTAAGTTGTCGTGTCATCGGGCAGAGTACCCTCAAAAGTACACTTAAAAAATGGTTGAAGATAAGGAATCCCAATAATAGCAAGCCTACTTCACCCCTACCCCTCCCCGAATTAAGAACAGTTAACTCACGTGCCGAGGAAGATCGGCACTGTTAACAGTCTAATGCAAGGACGAGTCTGCAGCTGCATTCCGTAACCTCCTAACGATTATTCCGGCGGCACCGCAAGCAGTCGTGGTTAAGATGAAAAAGAACAAACAGCGGCAAACGAGATCCAACTACAGCGGAACATGACACATGTACTTGCATCTTAACAGAGGTTGTGCACTAACCATCGATATAAAATACTATGAAGGTGACATACTGTATAATTGATCAAACACAAGAGTGCCTGAGACTAAAGGGGGAGAAATAGAGCTTGCTTGTTTTTATGACATCAGTGCAAAGAAAGAAATTAAGGCTATGTTCATATCATAGCGGATAGATTTTGCGCCGAAACGAAAACCATACTGGATAGAGCTTCTTTTCACTGTGGTTTTAATGCTACTTCACCTCAACCCTTAATCATCATGGAAATTCTCGTCAAAAGACATCTGTGTCCTATTATTCACTTTATTTACCTCACAGGTATCCTTTCCTTCATGTATGGCTCCTGCCTCAACACTTCCATGATTTTGTCTCTAAGCTCTTGGATGCCATCAATGTTCTTATCTTTTCTGAAAACCTTTTTCAACCTCCTCTGAATTAATTTTGCAGTGTTGTCAATGCTGAAGATAGGCCGCACTACATGTCCTTCATAGTCCTTACCAGTAATTGCCTCTTGTATTTTTGTCTTCATTGTTACAATGTCTTCGAATGGTTTGTCAGCATGGGTGCCTACAATGATCACAGGGGGACGCAGATGAGGCAGCTTTCCTTCTGCATCGTCACAAGTTCCTCCTCTCATCTGTGTGATGCTGTGCACTGTGCAAAGCCAAGATAGTAGATTCTCCAAATTTGTTTCCCCGTTTGGGTTGTCCAACGTGAAGTTATGGTGTCCTTGTCTCACACAGGGTTTGGCAGTTTCATGTAATGATTTGCTGAGGTTGCACACCAAGATATATATTGCACGTGTTGTTAAAAATACAGGATGAGACGCATAGTACAGCTGTTGTCCAGCAAAATCCCAAAGTTCAAAGCTACTAACGGATTTTTCGGTAACAGCTTTTTTACCTTTTACATACTTTATCCACTTCTCAGCGTGTTTTTCTATCTCGTCAGAAGGTGCAGTGGTATCAATCATTAACTCATGTTCAGGCTCTGAAGATGTCACTTCACTGACACTATCTATTTTTGGATCAGGGTCCTATAAAAGGAAAAGTGATTTTAACGAAACATGATAAGACTGTAAATTATTCATCTGCTATTATTCATCCAAAAAACAGATGGATCAACTCAAACATCACAACATTGAAATTGGGGAGATGGGCATCAACCAAACAGATTCAAACCTGCACACACATCAATTTAGAACAAACCTGTTTGATGCATGGTGAGGACAAAAATTTGCATACAAAATATAAAAAATGTCTTGCATGTTTGTTCCTCGGCGAAGGCATAAACTAAGCTATTCCCATGATGTGACTGCAAACGTCGAAAGTACAAAATAACATTGGGGAGAGCAGTTTAAAAAAGATGCACTGACGCACTTTCGGTAAGCGGCTTTATTGGTTTCGTGTGAACGGAAACTCCATTCGGAAAAAAGACGATGATAATAGTAATTATTATTCATTCAAAACATTTCCCCGATTCTGATTGGCTAAAAGCACCCGTATAATTCACCATAACCATTTAACCATTTACTGATGACCAAATTTGGAAGAATTTTGTGTTTAACGGGGAAATGACATCAAAAATGCAGCGTTCTTGCAGGTTAATGCACCGTTAACCGAGAAGACCTGGGGACGAGGTTGAGTTTTTTATGGTTGTGAAAACAAAAAATGGCGGACATTTCACTTGTTTCAAGAGTAAGAACTAGGCGAAATCATAGCTAAGAACATGGCAAGAACAGCAAGAACACAACTCGAAGGGCGACATCTGCTATTTGGAGAATGTTTGCGGAGCTGAACAACCCTAAACGTGCACTATGGAAGGTGAACTTAACATCGATGAAAGTAAGCTTGTTTTAGCTTTGTTTTTAAACTAGGAATTATTTTGAATAAATAATAAAACAGTCATTGAATTCGGCTTTCGTATCATATGAAGAATTATGGAGATCTCGGAGGGTGTTAACACCCTCCTCGATCTCCATAATCCTTCATAAGATACTCAGCCTCATTCATTAATTGTTAAATATACCATAATGACTAAGCCAATCAGAACGCTTGAATTGCATTACCAAATCACCCCTCAGTTTTAAATAAATATATATTCATCCTTACTTTTCCAAACAACTTCTTCATAACAAAATCTCGCCTCAGTCTGAATGACACAGGAATCCTATGTGGGAAACTTTTCCTAGCTGTTGTTTGCAACTCTTAAGATCTTATTACAGAAAAAACACCCTTTCAAAACGGAGTTTAAGCACATTTTATTGGGTAAACGGCCTTTCTGTAGGTTTATGCATTCTCTGTGTAAAAATGAGAAATTCCTATGTGGGGAAAGCACGTTGCCGCATAACAAAAGAAATTGCTTTCCACCTTACCCGGGTCATTACTTAAATCTTTACTTTAATTTCGGGGCCAATATATGTTGAAACTCTCTATACATAATATATGTTGAAACTCTATCAGTTTAACCGTCACCCGCCATTCGCGGAAAAGTCGTGCCGTTATGGTTAACTTCAGTGACATGAAAGTTACAGGGGTTTGTTAAATAGTGCACCTCCTAACTGCAGACTTTCCTTATGTTACATCACTGTTAGCTGCAGGCTTTAATTCTTTGCTCATGGACAGTTGACATTTACACAGTAGCACTATACTGTCTGCCCTGCGCACTCTCTTTTTCCTTCTCCCCAGCCCCCCTACAACAAAGGCCTCTGCGGAAGAGAGAGCCCCCAACCCACGTAAAGTTACAATCATGAATGTGAATGTATGCAAGCATTACATTTCTACCTGGAGTTATGAAAACCGGGTTAGCAAACATTTTGTAATTTTTTTCAACTTCCCCTGTCTAATAGCTTGGATACTGCGTTGTTTCCTTATGTGTTTTTTTTTTGCTTGTTTTGTGGTTAGGGATTTGTGTAGAAGTGGATGTAGACAGAATTACTATCTTACTCCCCCTAGTATTTTTTCCTACCCACAATTCTTTCTTTAACACAAGTGACAGTTATTTGAAATCAGCGCGCGCCTAAAGCTGGTTTCGGTGCCGTTTAGCAGTTTACTTTTAAATATTGGTCACCTTGAGAAAAGTTTCCCGGAGAGCATCATGTAGAGCTCTTAGATGGGACAAAGTTATTACGATTCGCAGAGTCTGCATCGTATATATATATTATATTCTCGTTTCATTTCGCTAAACGGATCAATCACCCTAATCCGGGCTGAGACAGAAAGGTACGATATTGTTCGCTTTTCTAAGGTGACCACTACGTCTTTGCCTCGGGAACAGGCTCTTAGGAGTCAAATGAATTAGGTGAGAGCAAAATTGCAGGTAAACTTTGACCCAGACCAAGACTTTTCTGGTGTGAAAACAAGGCTAAGGTGATCCGCCGACCGTGTGACTCTACATCCGGGAACTTGAATAAGGCGTGTGTAAGAGAAAAGACCAGAGGTGTTTATCTGGCATTAGGCTGAGTTTATCCGAGTTATTTGATGATATGTCGCTTATGTTAAACGTGAGAAGATTATGCGTGGTTGTGGATAGTCTTATCAGTGCCGCGAAAGTGTGTGATTGTGTGATTTCCGCATGGTGTTGACAGGTATGTGATCGCGTGGTTGAACTGCGGTTTCGCCAAAATATTCTGTGCCAGCCATTAATATTGTTTCGTCGGTGTTTAGCTTAGCTGATTGTACCTTGGAAAGGCAACTCTCGACTCAGGAAAATTGGATCTGCAATCCTGGCCAAAAGGGGCTGGGACACTTCTCTTACCCCTTCCTTTTTTTGGTAGAAAATTGGTGAGTGACCGTCAATTTACAGTTGTCAATCAGCTATGCTTCGGTTTCCCCCTCCCTCCCCCCTTAACAAAGTTGAAGTTCATACACTTTCAAAGACTTCTCAAACGTTTTTGGCCAGTAACACCCAACACTGTCCACGGGAGGAGGGGGATGATTGGAGAATGCACAGATCATGTGTAAATAAGTAAGTGTCCCAAACTTTTTGTCCAGGATTGTAGGTCTAGTTTCAGCGGGCTCTAATGGCATTGCGCCATAGGCCGGTTTGTGCACAATGTTTCATTCAGTTTGTTGTCTATTCCATGCGGAATCCTGTTTATCGGGCCGCGAAAAAAGTAGTGTTTTGCTAACCATTTAAGTTGTTATTGAAGCCTTAACCAGGCACTATTTCGCTGCAGTTCACTCAACTTAAAAATTTCTAGACTGAGTCAGTTTACTGGACAAATGTTCTAAAATTAGCGTCATTTTAACTTTGGAGTCGTTGGAATGCCTCTAGGGACCATTAACTTACTGCTCGGCGTCAGATAAAGGCTTTTTATCGGCCTTTGAATGAGTTTTGTTGTTTTAAATTGCCAGGTAGTAGAATGAGTTGATATTTTTGCTAACCCGGTTTTCAAAAATCCACGAATATTTACATGCATTAATGTGACAACCAAAAAAGGGAGAAATGGAGGGCATTTTACGCTTAGTTGCGCATTAGTAAAAACACAAGTTGGCTACTGTAAATGACCTCTTAGACGCCCACTTCCAAATAAATGCTTCTTATCTAATAAACGCCCTCTCTACGCTGATAAAATTGATTTAGACACCCCCCTCTAATAAACGCCCCCTGTCTAATAGACGCCCCCTTGAGAATTACTACAAAATACTACGAATAAGAAAAAGGAGCAAAATCATTCAATTCATTTAGTTTCTTACTTGTATAATAAAGGAGGCTGTGTGTATTTAACAATTATTCCTCGAGTCCGAATTGACTCAGAGGCCATGAGGGCGAGAGGAATAATTGTTTTAGTAAAATCCAACTAGTTGGTCAAAAATATCGAGAATAAAAAAATTTAGCTAGTTAAAGACAGACGTTAATCCTTTTTTGCCGCCAAAAAGCTGGCGCTTTTCCCCACTAGTGGGTTGTAACATACAGCCTAGTAGTAGCTCAACCAATCAGAACGCAGCATTGATAAATATAGACCACTAGTTGGATTTTACTTATTCATCTTATTCAGTGTCAAGTTTCAAGTAAGAATAGACCAGTGAAGGCATAACACAATAACCCCGAGCAAGGATTCTGACATCAATGTTGGGATTCGAGCAATATGGATCTCTAGACGGCTTAGACGTATAAATCAATAAAGTTGATATTCGGCTATTTTTAAACTTTCTTTAAATTTGGGGTGTAAGCATATAAGATCTGCTGAGCTTGTTACAGTAATGAGAATAAATGCCTCTCTCTCTCTAAAACGCCTCCTATCTATTAAACACCCGAGCGTGAACCCCTAAAATTAAATAGACGCCCCGGGCGCTTATTAGGTCATCAATTAGTTTAATTGACGGTACATGCCTAGTATCTGTTGGTGGCTGTATGCAATACTATCAATTATCAAGAAATGCGTTCAGTGATGAATGTCAACGGCAGAAATTTTTACTAAGAAAATTGAAGCAGTTTAGACTATCAGCTTCAGAACGAGAGCGAAAATCGAGACATTTAATGAATGTTTTCAGCGCGTCTCACTTATCAGACGAGTTTGCTTCTACCGGCTAAGTATGCGTGTAGGAAGTGGCTTTCAGTTCGGCTTTTTACAGTCGAAACCTTGCTTTTTAACGCAAAAATCGACCTTCAAACTAATGTTACAGAGAGGACAACCCAATATCAACTTGGCACTTTTCCCACCAATGAATGAAAAACGGGTTTCGGCTTTGACTACTTCGGCCGTTTAATCCAGCGAACTCGCGGTAATTGTTTGATATATATCGTCTTTTTTCATCCGGCGGCCAAAATAATGTTACCCATCCAGTTCCGAACCCCGCCCGACCACGGCTTAACTTGAGTGATGCTATTTTAAACCAAGTTTCGTGAGGGTAGGTGTGCCACCTATTTCTGCTATAAGTAATACTTGATTTAAGTTGGCTGAACACAGATTTGGCAGTTTGTGAGTGTATGTCATTTGCCAAATCATGGCAAGAGAAAGGTTACAGCTCACAAGCTGAAACTTGGTAAGTGAAAAATATACTGATGAAAGATTTTGATTGACAGGTA